TTTAAAAGTTCTGTAAAATGATAATCACCTGTATAGGCTGTATGTTACTCACTATAAAACCCGCGAAACAATATTCAGGCACAGGCTGTGATTTGTCGGGTTGTGCAGGTACGCGACCGCAATGCATTATGCAACACGATATAAAAGTGCTTTCAGCATATGATAAAAGTTTAGCATGTCATGAAAATTTGGAATACGATGTAAAATGGATAGCGGCACAAATTAAAGTTTGGCATGTTATAAAAAACTTTGGCATGTTATTTAAAAGTTTAGAATAAGTTATATAATTTGACAACACGATGCAAGAAGTTCTGAATGTATATGATGACGTTTAGAATGGCCTTTATAAGTTTAGCACAAGTTTTTGAAAATTATCACTGTATATGTAAAATATGCCATGTATATTTTGAATTTAGCATGTTTATAATAAGTTCAGAATAATGTCCAATTCCGCGCCTCATATATCTGGAAAGATTTTAAAAACTGCAGCCCCTATTATTGCCTTATCACTCACACACATCTTAAATTAATCATGCTATCATAGCAAGCTGTTTTCCATATGAATGGAAAGCTCTAGACTTCTACCACTTCATAAAAAGGGTCCACGAGATCTCCCAGAAAACTTTAGGCCAATCTCAATCGTACCTGCAATAAATAAAGTTATGGAAGTAATTATGTATGATCAGATCTATGAATACCTTAACGACAATTCGATCATTTCTGAACACCAATTTGGTTTCCGCAAATATCATTCAACTGCTTCGGCTCTTTTGGATTGCACGAACAGTTGGTACGTTAATATGGACCTCAAAATGTTTAATCTGGTTGTATTATTGGGTTTAAAAAAGGCCTTTGATACTGTAAACCATGATATTTTCGTGCGAAAACTTGAGCTATACGGTATCAATGGTAATGCCTTAACCATGATACAATCATACTTGTCTGATCGCACACAGAAATGCCAATTGGCCTTTCAACTCGACTTAAAAAAACTGCAGAGTAGAGCGGCGAGAATAGTATAATGGGTATGACAAATGATACCCCTGGATTAGAAGCAATTACTGCCTTAGGGTGGGAAACTCTTGAGTCTCAACGAGCCAAGTCTAAAGCAGTACAAATGTACAAAGTTTAAAATGATTTGTCCCCAAATGCACTTGTTAATCTTTTTATGCGTAAAAGTGATGTCACAGATTACGAGCTAAGGGGTTCCTCTACATCACTGCAAATCCTTTTTCCCAGGACTGAAAATATTAAGAAAAGTTTTTATTACGATGGCGCGAAATTGTGGAATTCCTTACCTGAAGATTTGCGTGATTCGGCTACCTTGTCAATATTTAAAAGTCGAATTAGTGCTCACAATTTCTCAAAATATAATGTAAATATAATTATTATGTTATAATATTAGGTTGACTATTGTAAATATGTTCATTTTTAATGTTTGCTACTATTTATAATGTAATTGACACGCCCCTCGTGGAAATCAGCGAAAGTTGACGAGGCTAGCCTGTGATTTTTAAATAAAGTTTATCATCATCATCATCATCATCATCACTAAAATAAAACTACATTTTTGGCGGAGAAAGAGCGTTACTACGATGCAATGGAAGTAAATGTCGCGCCAAAAATCGTAAAAACATGGTGGAACGTGAAGAACTAGCTGCGAGAGACGATGTTATCGAATATTTAAGACATGGTTTTAACATTTATGAATAAACTAATACGTAATTCATTTACTAATTATGTTGCTGTTGCTGTTGCTGAGTTAGTGTTTATTAGATGTGAGGAATTCGTTTGCGGTTTATCTTTGTTCTATAATGCTGGGCCATGGCCGAAAGATATTTGTCTAACCTCAACAGGGGCCCTGTAAAAATATGAGTTTTCTTCAAGACATCTCATCACCTCGGCATAAAAAATGTACTTTCCCTAAAAGACACAAAAAATATCATATCTAAAATGTTTTTTTATCCCTTTACAAAAAATAACCAAAATGAGTGAAATTGATTAGCAATATTCGCTAAGTTTTGATAGGCGGTCGTATTCAGTGGGGGCCAAAAGGCAGCATTTTGGATGTGAATTTATCATTTTTTGTTTTTTTTAGGTTAAAAAAAGATGAAACTTACTAAAAATAAAACTTATAGGATAATGGCAATTAATCGACAGAGTTTCTGAGGGGTGCGCCCTATCAGCGCACCCAAGGACATATCAACACGAAAAAACCCGCTGTCCTAGGAATTTCGCCCTCCTTTAGGAAATTCGCCCCCTTTAGAAACTTCACCTTTTCTTTAGGATTTTCGTCCTCCGTTCAAAATTTCGCCATTCCTAATAGTTGATTGGGATAATTGTTACATGGCTTTAATAATTTGAAATCAGTATCATTTCAAGACAGAGCTCGTGTTGAACATGACATCTCACTCGTTCGCTGCGCTCACTTGTGAGATATCATGTTCAACACTCGAAATAAATCTGGTATTTCCGCGCACCCATGTATTATTCTATTATTATTATTAGGGGCTTCGGTGGCCAAGTGGTTAGCGCACTTGCCTTTCACCTCTGAGGCTGCAGGTTCGAGTCTCACCAAGTACCTTCTCAGTGCGATTCGAACCCAGTCCCCATATGAAAAGAGTAAAAGTCAACGCTCTACCGAAAGCCGTGGGTTTTCCCCGGGTTCTCCGGTTTCCTCCCACAGGGAAAGTTGACAGGGTGGGTAAGGTAAAAAGGGCCCACAGTAATTGGCATATGCTGTTGTGGTGACCCTGCCCTAGTTGGCAAAGCTAAATAAATATTATTCTCTATTTAAACTACAACTTGACTGGTTTATTATTATTATCAAGTTATCAGTGATTGTAAAAGTTGCAGATCGAAGTGTTTTGTTTTATATTATTATCAAGTTATCAGTGATCGCAAAACCTCCAAATCCTTAATTTCAAATGCCCCGCCGGGCTAAGGTCCGAGTGGAAATGCCCAACCCCTGGGATGTGCTTTACAGGAAAATTGCTGGGCGAGGAGGATCGGGGCACAGTTGGATTTGGCTGATGCATTAAAAATCATGGAAAAAGAAAAAAACTTTTCATATTGCTACTATAAAATGGCTTATTGTGCTTATTCCTGTGCTTATTCCAGACTGCTTGTCAAATATTTACTTGCTAGAAGTAGAAATTTACTCTGACCACTGGATGAAGAAGACAATAAATAAGTACTGTTCAATAAACAGAAATGTATTTTATTTCATAGTATTACAATTTTATTTTTATACTATAAAAATAAAATATAAACATGCAGTATAGAATATACAAATTCGAGGCAAAATCATTGTTGAGTCGGTTTATTTATAGGATTTTATAACAAATAGCAACTATAATATTTATACCTTGTCTTCGCTTTATTCTCTTAGCCAATGCTTTTAAATTTACATATTTTAGAATCAGTTCCTTTCCTGGTAACTGCATTTCTAAATGAAATCATCGTGAGTGCTGAGCAGGCCGTTTTACTATAAACAAATTTTAGGAATTGATAACAACTTTGAAAATATATCGTTTCACATTCGGTCACAGTCGGAAAAATGTTCATAGTATGTTGTACCGTCGCTTGCAACTAACGATGAACAGTCGCTCATAAAAACATTCGCGTGATTAGAATCTTCAATGTTTGTCAAGAACAACAGCACTTAATTGTTGTTTCCCACGTGTACAATAATAAGTAACAAAACTTTGTGTGGTCTGAACGTGTTGGGCTAGAGACCTACTGGAAACCTTTACAAGCTTGTTAATTAGAATAGAGAATGTTTTATCTGCAACTGTTCACCCTTAGTTGCAACCCACGGTATTTGACAGCATAAAATTGCCTGTGGCTGTGATAACTGATATAAATAAAATACAGTCTGGTTATACTGACTTGAGCGTGTCACGACAAACTCTTTATTGGAAAATTGTGAAGAAATAGTCGAATATAGAGGATCGAATATCATACTTCAACTTTTATAGCTACAGTATCATTGGTACATAGCGTTGTGAAGACAAGACTTTGCTTACCTTTCGCTTCAGCAGCATTTTTTTTCCATGATTCTCTACGCTTTCACAGGCGAGCTTCTCTTTCCTCAGCACTCTACTCGAGCAAACGTTGTCGTCTTCGCTCCCTCCTTTTCGCTAGACGCTCGGCTTTCTTGTCGTTTCCTTGCCGCTCTTCATTTAGCTCCATATCTTTTCAATTGGTATTTGATACCGTAATTGTTTTATTAAACTTTTTATAGAACAAATTGCTTTGAAAGCTGTCAAAGTTTTTTGCAAAAGTACAAAATACTGTACGTAGTGCAAAAGGAAAATTATTTTCATGAAGTATTTGTCAGTTGAAATCGTCATTTGTCATACAACAACAAATTTTAAATTTGACCAATCAGTGTTCGCTATCCATGACAGTCCGCTATATTTTTGAGTTCAGTGAGGATGACCACCCATGCACAGTGACCCACGCCCGCGATATTTGATGAACTTTAGACTTCCCTAATGCTTTCGTTTCCCCAGGTGTAAATAGCCGGGGGGAATTAGTACCCTCGCACGGCGCTTCGCGCCGCCGGCTCGGGGATCATGCAATTTTCTTTGCGGAAGTCAAGAATCAAGATTACATCACTCACACTGACATGCAAAGTTGACGATTCAATGGACAATAGTCAATACGCTTCCCAACACACTCCATAGATTTTTTATTAATCCTATAGTTTATTGTTAGTAAGTGATTACTGTGTCGGCTCTTGCATGTTAAGATTAGTGTCACACCAGGAATTCGCGAGCTCAAACTCCTGTTGGCGGATATTTTTCGGGACGAATAGACTAGATAATCTGGAAAATGTTAACAATCCGTCATATGTTTAAACCATCCTTTTATAATTCTTGCTCTTTTTGTCTGATTCTTATCAGAAATGTACCAAACAAGATATTTTTATCGCTATTTGCTGTATTTGAGTAAAATGTAAACAATAACAAATGCATGACCCTGACACTAATTCTTTAACACTGCTATTAATAAAATTTGCAAGCGATTATTTTTATGATGTACTATGTGAATGTAATCTGCCAGAAGAATACGACAACATGATTTTATGCGATCTCTGTGGGCAATGGTTCCACTTCAGATGTGTAGAATATGACACTAGTCTAAGTACCTCAAATCAGTGGTTATGCCGACTGTGCACACCACCAGCTGCTAAGAAGCCTAAAATGTGTATGTAATTTTGTCTCCTTGTAATAAATAAATAAATCACACAATAAAAATTTTCAACTTGCATTCGTTTTGTTTTTAGATCAAAAATTCAAAATTGATATGGTGGGAGGGCGAAATTCCTAACGGAGTGCGATATTCCTGCACCACTATAACTAAATATACTTTTTTTCATATACTCAGTTTTAGGTTTGGGGAAATACAACTTAAAATCTGAGTTATGCAAATTGTAATTATGTTGAGAACTGATTGGATTTTGAAACGATTCGATTAGAACAGCTTGCCCATGGATTATTTACCAGATGATCTTGATACGCGGAAAAGTACTGGCACTAGTTGTCAAATAGGAATCCATTGTATGATTAAAACAACTGAATATCTCCTGTAATATACTTTATTTCGATTCCATATTTTTGTCAGAGCTATAGTTCTCATAACCAAACATAATTACAAAATTTCAACTAGTTTCATAAAGAATAACGAAAGATATGATTGACTGAATTCATCAAAACGGATTTCTATTCGGACAACCCTTTCTGAGCGCTGATTGGCTAAAATACGAACACGAGATCACCTGGTATACATGAGTCTGGCTTTCATGCAGGACAAGTCTACATTGCATTAGCGTTTTCCTTTGAAGCTTATTTAAGGCTGCTTTCGTGGTTCCAGCGCGCAGTGTTCACGGATCACGCGTGAGCGTGAGATACTATAGAGAGTTCAAGCTTCGCGTTTATACGTCAAACGGCAAACGCCAGGCAAAAAAAAATTTGGTTGTACCAGGCAATAAAGAGTAAATGAACTTGTTGTTTTTAAACTGCAATGCAAGATTATTCCTTCGACACAAAAAAAAACATATGAAGCGATAACGTTTGACGAAAATTTTGAATACTGATTAGAATACTACGTTTTTCGCATTTGTTATTCTGTTGTCAAAATTTTATAGGTTTTCCTGATAAATAACTTTACTAATGTTAGTACAGAACAATGCCTTACGACATAATTAGTTTCCCTTTTGTTTTTCGAGAGAGTGTAAAATTACTGTAAAAACGGCGGTGATTCGAAAATATATTGCATTTTATTGTACTATCAGAACGAATCGAGTCCCAGCGCAGCACAGCGAAAATCTCTCACAATGGTCGGGATGGTCTAAATTCTCTATATTATGAATATAAAACTGTCAATCGAAATTGTGCACTTCCGGTATATATATATATAAACACGATGACATAAATTATATAAATATTAACTGTTTCTGACATACCCTAACGCTTTAAACCTCCGAAACCTAACGGAGTATGGGCAGAATCGTAAAGTTGAAGTTCTGAGCAATTTCAGAACTCTGTCGCCTCCAAGTGCCAAGACATGACATATTTATCATTTATAGACCCGAAGCGAGGGGGATTCGGCATAATATTTCCCGAAGTGATGATATTTTCCGAGGGGCTTTGCCCCGAGGAAAATATCATCACTGAGGGAAATATTAAATATTTAAGCATGTATCCTTTGGATCATTAAAGGTAAAATGCGTCTTGAAAATGTTTGGTTAAATCAAATATTCTGTACGAAAATACGAAATTACAAACAACAGCTCGCGAACGCAATATTGTTTCAGAGCTTGGTGTCCACGCGTCACGCGTGAGCGTGGGATACTATAATATCCCACGGTGGATCTGCCGTGGGATATTATAGTATCCCACGCTGGATTGCGAAATCATGAATTTGAGTGAAATACCGTAAAAAAATCACATTATCACGTGGTTCAAATGCTGTTTTTTCATTGGACAATTTGAATTTGAGGTATAATATTACTTATAATCAAATTTCTCGTGAGAGGGAAACGTCATTTTTGTATCATCGCCCATGTTTGTATATTTTATACTCCAATGTAAAATAAAAGATGTATAATTTCACACATCAAACCTCGCATTAGACTTTTATAGTTCCACTAGTGAAACGTTCAGTATACATATACAATAGGTTATAGCCATTGCCGAAATTTTTCAGTTTTGAGAGCAAAATTTTTCAGCTTTGGAAGCTTCAAAAAAATCACCACTTCCAATTCGGTTAATACTTTGCCGAATACCCCTCGCACGGGGTCTATATATGATAAATATAGAATGCTTGACGAGCTTGACGTTCAGAAATATATACATCGTTCCCACCAGAAAATAAAACATAAAATGTGCAGTGATTCCCCTTCATAAAGATTGCAGTGATTCCCCTCCCCAAAATTGAGTGATCTGTAGTGCTTTTTTTCTCAAGTATTACTGCATTATTTGTATCAAAAACTTGGAGGAAAAAATATATTTCACAAAGATACATTCTGATATGCTGAGAGCAGTGCAATTACATATAGTAAAGCACTTTACAATGATGGTCTTTACGTGTTTAAAAACAAATACATGGCAAGCACCCTCACAAAAGGGGCTTTCATGCAAGTTTTGATTTTCGGTAGTCGTAAACTTTTATTCGTTGTTGTCTCATTCAATTGGGCATTATTTGAGATTTCTTTCTTGCATTGAACTGATTATACCAGTTTGATTTAGGATATTTTTCATGTACATCATTTATTAATAAACATTATAAAATACCTAATTGAATTCTGATCGTTTAATTGGCTGTTTAAGGTCACGTGATATTGAATAGAAAATTCCATTTCCCAAGAGTGCAGTGAAATACGTTCCATTGCACTCTTTGCGAGTGCAATTGCACTATACCTTTTATTCCTGCATTGCACTCTTTGTGTTTTCGATAAATCGCATCCGTCAAAATACTTCTCGCACGGTGATCGCAGTTTACTTTAACCCGATATTCGAAACTCAGTAAATGGGATTCAATGCAAATACGACTCTTCAAAATGGCGGGAGCTTATAAGTAAACATTTTAATATTAGTCTTTTTTGGTATTATAAAAAACAAATAATGAATGTTTATTCGTGCAATGGTAGGAATATTTTCTTTTGGTGAAAGACGGAATGTTCCATCCAATTCCGCGCTGTCGCCTCGTTGAATGGAACATTCCATCTTTCACCTCATGAAAATATTCTTACCATGCGCTCATAAACATTCATTATTTGTATACTATAGTATAGGACAATTTGTTGAGGAATTTTGTAAAAACTATACACTTGCCACACTTCAAATTAATTTGTTCTTCTGACTATAGTAATAATTGGAAGTATTTTAAAAACTCGTTTGTACTGACCTCGAGTTCACTCTATCACCACCCACGCAGATTTAGTAGGGTCTCAGTCTTTTGTCTTTCATCCCGCCCTCGTGTAATTAATTATATTAATGCCCCATAATTATTACTATGTTGACAAGGAGATTCCTTTGATGAAAGATATTAATTACTGGGGGTACTTCTCAAACATCCTTTCTCAGGAAACTGTAGTACTTCGTACTTGCACTTGGATAAACTTTGCGTAATATTTACGTTAAGTGGGGTGTTTTCCACATAATGGTCAAATTTAGCTAGCATCACAATTAAATATACTGAGCAAGTTCATATCAAACACGTCAGAACAGATTACTTGTTCGCTAAGCCGTCTGTACATTTCGAACTTCACCGTTTTTCGAAATTACGGATTATTGAAAAAGTAAAAAAAACCGAAAGTGGAATACCGAAACCATGATATTATTATGATATTATTTATACTGCACTGTACTGATTTATGCACGCTTTATTAAAATAACTATTAAACTATCATAAGTTAAGAAAATGTATTAGTATTCCAGTTTGCTATACTATCACCGTTATAATGGAGTAAATATTACAATAGTTATTTACACATTACATCATCAGGATAAATTTTTACACGGTTTTTCCTTTCCTATTTCAAAGATATTGCATCTGACCAAAAGTGTTTCTAGCTTGCCTTCACGAAATACAACAATTTTCTTCTGGTTGCTACTTCAGTTCCATCCTGGAGGAACACAGCTAAAATGATTGTCGTTTCCAGACTTCTAACCAGAAAGAACATAAATGAAATTCATAGTGTGGTTCGGGTTTTCACCAGTCACAAGAATTTGGGGCGTATATACTGTACACGCATTGAGATGTCATATTCAGCTAATCAATAGAAGGGAGAAGATAAATGTTTTTGTTGCTTTGAAAGAAAGTAAAGCCATACGAAAAGCTTTATCGCTCTAGTTCTCTAACTTTTTAATTTAAAACAATTTTTTTTGAAGTGCAGTGAAACTTGAATTTGGTTGTTCCAAAAGCGTTAAGTCGTACACAACGTTTAACTCGTTACCCGCCAGATAAAATTTAAACATTTTTGATAATTTGCGTTGCACAAAGCCCACCGTTTAGAGGTATAGTATATCAGTGCTGATTGATGTTTCATCGGCACGGTGTTTAACCAAACAGTATATATAGGCCTAAGAATTACGAAACTGAACTCTAAGAAGCAAAATATAGACTATTTTTAAGATAATTATATACAGATTGCTCTACACATTTTTGGGTTGAGTACTCTTCAATCTACTGCATTAACAAACTATTTGTAATATAGCTTGGTAAAATGTATATTGAAAATTATCATTGACTATAGAGCTTCACCCAATATAAGTTTCTGCAGAAAGAACTGATATAGGGCAATACTCTTTTTTGCTTTGTATATTAGCTATATAATGCAGTTTTGGAATAAAACACTTTCGCAAAATATAATAATATATAAAATGCTCAGTTTTGTCGAGTGCTTGATGGCAATTAATATCGATGACGACATGCGCATGTATCCTGCAGTTAATGACGAAATGCCTGCTTTGTTGCACAGTGACGGACAACGGTTGGGAAAAGTGTGAGGGTTCTTGGTTATAGTAGGCTATAGTGTATACAGAAAAATTGGATGAAAATGCTGAACTGCATGCTATAAACAACGACATGCGCACAACCGTCGCATTCATAATATATAATTACAGTTATATGCTGTTTGTATCATCGCAATGTTCAAAAAAGTACTCGAAATTTAATATAATATACTCAGAACTTAACAAAATCTTAATATTAGGATCAAACTACCAGATCATGTAATCCCAGACATATGTCAGATGGATATATTTTTTCGCAAGGTGTAATCATTTCTTGAAATAGATACCTATTTGTTCCCTACTTGCGTTCTTTTAAATCGAGCACTTAACGTCCAAGAACGTTTTAGCAACTGATAAAACTACACTTAGTCAATATAAATTGTGATAAAAGCACAGCAACAATAAACATTTTGACTTTATGCATGGGATTATGCGACGCAATCTTCAGAAAATGCTGAAATCGTGGTTTAATTCTCAATGCGGCTCAATCAAACTTTTAAAAAAGTTATTCGCTGTCTTGTATGATTACCCCTCCAATTAATTAGGGCTGAACAAATAAATATAATCCATTTAACTGATTTTGTCTATATTTATTTTCGTTCTATGAATTGATTTCGATATATTCGTCCTGCATACAGGTTAGACATAATCAAATAGTATGTGTATAGTTACTTTCATTTGCCGTCTTTTCGTCGTGTAAAACGTGACTTACATTTTGTGAATGTTTCATTCTGATCATATGTTTTGTCATTTCTGCATAAACCATGATCTGGCGAGACAAAAGGTGAGTCTGTCTAAGATAATTTTCTTGTTTGAAAGGAACCGTTTCATACCGAAGTAATGATCAAATTTAATAGACAACTAAAGTAATCTGAAATAAAGTGAACCTCTATGAAAGACGCCTGCACTAAGCCGATTTCAAACTAAACAACAAAAGGACTTGAAATGTGGTGGCACTGTACCTTGACGTCTTTAGGCTAATGTAAAAGTATTATACTTGTGCAGCTTCAAAGTTTTTTTTTGTGATCAGGATGTGAAATAAAGGTAAGTAAGAGCACTCATTATATTGGCTTACAATGCTCGTGACTACTCAGACGAATATCGTAGCCATGGCAAAGTTATCGTGAGCTCTGCATAATGAAACCTTCGAAAGGATATAAAAGGTGCGAGATTCATCGGTTCGTCACTTCATCTTTGGTCTTCAAGAAAGAAAGAGTTCGAAGATAACTTAAAGAACAATGAAGAATCTTGCACTGTTGTGTTTCATTTTGGTAGCTTCAGCCTGTGTGCTTGGTACGTATGATATGAATTAATTTACCTCCCTAATTGATTGTAGCGTTTCAATCAACTTGGAAATATTTTTGAATGAAGCTATTCTGAGTGTTTCGACATCGCATCATGCATGCAGCTGAAAAGTTGGCTGACCGGGGTGGGTTTCCAGCCAGCGACTTTTCTATTACAGTATACTCTATACAGACTGAGAAAGGAGGTCAAGTCGTCATGTGGAATAAGCGATATTCTGCAAATGTTTGATCAAGTTCCCTAATCTGTTCCTTTTAAATGAACATTTGCATGTAAACCAAATATTAATTTTGGACTCCCATGCAATTACTGACACTTATCTAGCTGGAATCACTTCAACTTAATATAATTTCTTTCATTCTTTATTTTGCAACAAAAGTTGCTCGCGCTGATGAAGAGACACCAGCTGTCGACGCTCCCAAGATGGAGGATCAGCCAGAGACTGCTGACGTGATGGCTGACGAAGAACAAACGGAGGCTGACAAGGCTGAAACGGAAAACGACGAAGTCGATACTGAAAACGACGAAGAAGATACGGATGCTGATGATGCGCAAGAAGATGAAGAGGTCGAAGAAGATGAAGGTAGGCGACCATTTCTGATTTTGTGCACGTGGTGGCTTGATAAGTAGTTTTTCAGAATTCAATTTGAGGCGAAAGAGATGTCAATAAGAACAAATTTCTTTCTTAACTTTGCATAATCCTTCCCATCAATAACTAAGAATGGCATTAGCAACACAACACACATCAGTGTCTTCACGACTTCAATATCTCTCAGATCTGTAGTGCTTTTGAAAATCTATCAAATCAGCATAAAAAATATGACTGAGCTATCCCGAATAATTAATATTTAACATTAACATTTATTCGCCGAAGACGAGATGATTATCATGAAATATTCAGCGAGACCAACACGAGGTGAATATACCCCGATAATCACCGAGACTGATGCGAATAATTGTTTTAGTATTTTTGCACAAGTCTATTGTGATTTTTTGGACAGAATTTATTTTAATTATGCTTATTTCTTTATCAGTAGCCTCCATTTTGTAAATTTCAGTTTTGTTATATTCACCTGCACGTGAATATTACAGCTTAATACGTCGAATTTGACCAATCAACTTGCACGATTTGTAATCATATTCACTTGTACAAAAATAGTAAATATATATTTGAAATATCAGTATTTCTTGGCATCTCATTCGATTTAACTCATTGTTGAATAATTAATCATTTCCCAATCAAGCATGCAGAGGATTGGATCTACTTGATGTTTGAAGGAAGTTTGGAAAAAACATGTTTTAGTGAGCGAGCTAAATATATACCAAAAATTGCCTCATTATAAGGCTGCACAAATAACTTTAGGAATGTAGAAATACGTCCTAGATGCCATATTCAGCATCAGGGACGCCGGAAAGTCGATAATTGGCGGGCAGATATTCACATATTCGTGTTTACAGACTGTAAAAGCAATCGCTTTCAAAGGAAATAAATGATGCAGAACATGAATATATGAATATCTGCCTCCCCCCCCCCCATTCTCGACTTTCCGGCGTCCCTGTTCAGCATATTGTTTATTTTTTCGTCCCTCCAAACAAGCAACTAGACTCAGTCCTCTGCTCGATTGTGAAAGGAAAAATTGAAATCTTTTAACACTAGTTCAATTGAGCGACATGCATAAACATGCTCAAACTTTATAAGCATCTATCTTACCATAGCCTCACGTTAGCTTAATATACTATATAAGGACTTGCGGTTAGAGTGGACTACTAGACTGCGCATGTAGCTCAGTTTATTAGCTAGAGCGCTGCAGCGAAACAGTGTGTTACAGGTTATTTTTAGTTAAAGGACCTGCATGCAATCTTGGTTCAGTCTAAAGAAGTGTATAAAAGTTACACTCGAAATTTCCATTTGCAAATTTTCCAACATTCCATATATTTTGTTTAACATATTTAACATCATTTTCCTTTCTTTTGATAAGACATTCCACAAATAAGATTGCTAGAACAGCAAAATATAGACAATATATTTATCTGGTTCTATATATAAGTTCCACATCATTTATTTACTGACGAATTTAAATAACAAACATCCTCCTTTCTTTAGAAGAAACCACCGACATCGCAGATGACGAGCCCGAGAAACGAGGTCAGTGTCGTTCCACAGTTATCATACAATAATTCTAAATGCATTTTCTGAATTTAGTTCCATTTTTTTGAAATGTTTATAAAAAGAATTTGTAACCCGTACGGTGTAGAGAAAATTTCCGATTTTTCAGTGCGCTATTATAGATATTGAATTTGTTAACAAAACTTGCAGCTTTGCTCCAAAAATATGCGTTTGACAGATCTTTGATACGTCTTTTGTTCTCATTCATAAGTCCTACTAACATGCAGGATGTTTCAACTAAATTTTATTCCAGAACAAACTTTTCTAATTATATCTGAAACAAATAAATTAGACATAAATTTGTCAGTTTACTTTAAACTTCTCCTTGTCTGTATATATATACTAGTTTTGTATTGAATAAGTCGTGATTAAAATAAGCATTACGTAATAAGCATTACATACAAATTACCTACAATGTGATTTTGTATATTCAGGATGGGTATGCAGACGATACAGGAAAGGTAAACTTCGGTGCAAGGCTTGTGGATGCAGACGTATATGCAAACCAAAATTTTGCATTCGACGTGTCTGCAAACGAGTCAGATGTACCAGGAAAGTATGCCGTATTGTGATCAGATTCAAAATCGTCAGATACAAATACCGCAACCCTTATTACAAAGGATATGGAAGTCTCTACTTGTGGAAGACCAAAAAGGTTCCATACAAAGTTCGTATTTGCAAAAATGTGCCAAGTTTCTGCACCAAATGTTACAACCAACGTTACAATTGCGGTCGTGTTTGCAGGAATGTGTGCAAATACAGAAAGGTAAGCGATAAATAAATAAATATTGAGACATTTTTTATGCTTGTGATGTTACTCTGAGTGTATATCCACACCAGGAAAGCTTGAAAAATATGCCTAACCACGGTGGGAATCTAACCTACGACCTTTGGAATACTTGCCCAATGCTCTGCCAACTGAGCTACGCGATCTGGTCGGTTCGAGTATGTGATATTTATTCCACATGACACCATAACTCTACTAGGTTGGCTATTTCTATTTGGACTCGGTAGTTCATTGGTTAGAGAGTTTTTTGCATAGTCGCAAGTTTGATCCCTTGACAATTTCATTTCGACAACCACTATTCTCACATCTTCAATACGAATCTCATTAGCTAATGGCAAACTCAAATGCGTCTGATTGGTCAACAATATTGCGGTAGTGGAAATCAAATCTGAATCACCATATTATCTTAAAAAATTCTAGAATGATGTTTGTGATGTTATCTGAGTGTAAATCCACCCCTGACAAGCTTGTAAATATGCCTGGCCACGGTGGGAGTCGAACCTATCCTTCGTCATAGGTTCGATTCCCACCGTGGACAGGCATATTTTTTATGTTTGTCCGGTGTGGATATACACTCAAAGTAACATCACAAACATCATATTCACCTGAGTACATAACACCAACACAGAAAAATCAGTTCTAGAATCAATTAACTAATTACCATGTTAGATGGGCAAAATGATTTTCAGGGTACCAAAGAGATGGCTTATAAATGTCTTTCCATCTGAACTAAAACTTTTCGAATAGATTTGCAAATGATTTGATGGTTCTTTTCATAAGAAATATTGTGGCGACAAAAATGGCGTAGGGGATTCTTCGAAATGTTTTAACTGCCCAAAATTATAAAACTACAAAATTTCTACAAGCGTTCGTTTGAAATATACATTATTTTAAAGCTGGTTCAAGAGAAATATAGTTAATGCACAAAACTTTGCCTCTATCTCTATTTAATCAAGTCGGTAAAGGCATTTGACATTAAACCAACTACACGTACTAGACACCGTCGTTTAAACATTTATACCATTGCCTTCAAATATATCTGAGTGAATGGCTTCAATTAAATTATTTGTTGTATTATTTTATTTTATTTTATTTTCTAGTGCTCACTCTACGGATAAACTCAAGCTGATTTCCTGAAAGAATATCTGGTTAAGAACGGATAGCAACCATTGGAAAACGTCAAATTCACTAGAAACATAATATGTAGTTGTTGTTAAAAATAAACAAACTTTTCATAATACGTCTTGTTTGTTTTTTCATTTTTCAAATGATTGGATTTGAAGAAATAAAGGAAGGAATTATTTATTGCTTAAGGAGGCTCCGCACAGTTGACCTTATTTTCCAATATCTCTGCAGTACAGGCCTATTAATGCAGATCGTGCATTCGTTTCCACTTGGAGGCAATATCTATAACATCAGTGGAATATTTAGAACTCGGTTTTGACAATGTAACTGTTGCCAAAGCAACATGGCGAAGCTGCAAATCCGCTTATTTTAGCGACAAACTTTATCTGAAAAATATATCTGGTGACCTATCTTTTCTATTTCCTATATCAATAAAACATGTATCCCTGCAACTATTGAGAAAATTTAATTAAATTCTTTACAGTGCGTTTTTTTAATAAACTCGAAAATTTTATAGCTAGATTTCCACTGTAAAAATATTTAAAATTTAAAATTTGTGGTTAAAATTTGAGGATAGATAACCGATAAAAATACCGATCAAATTGTAGAAAACCCTTGTGTAACTCGAGAAATTTCCCTTATATAAAAGCGTCGCCGACTGGTAAAAGGTTGTACGCGGACGCAGAACGACCTTTCATCCAGCAAAATTGAGCGGCGATGTTGTTTTAACTGTTGTGTTTTTGTCAACTTTTCAATTGATTTGAGTGGCATGGACAGCCAAGGATTATTGTGAAGGATCAAATCGATGAAAGCAAAAAACCTCTATAAGGTTGAAGCTAATTGAACCCTGCTGTTCACTAAATCGATCTATGAGCTGTAACAGCCTATAACAGGTGGGCGTGTTTTTACTTTTTTTGTTTCATGTTTGGTTTTGTACTTTTTGCTAAAAATGAACAATTAGGCTATGAAACTATGTTATTTTTCTGTTTACATGAAATCACTTTAATCTTGTAGACTAAAATCGTGAACGTTTTCTTGAGAAGTGAACAACCTTTTAAACAAATTTTTCTGTTTTAATTTTGGAAATGTTTTACAGTCGACAGTGTATATTTAAAAAAAAATAGAAAGCATTGTTTTCTAGCTATATGTTGGTCTAGCGATATTCGTATCACATGTAGAATTGTTGTCAAAACGAGGTATTATTCAACGCTTTTTTCATCAGAAACCTTTCACAAATAGCTTTTTTTTTGAAAATCCGGTCAATTTTTGTTTTGTTTTGATCGTGCGGTTGCATGAGATAATCTACGTACTTGGTCCCACGAACATCCCGCATGCTACCGTAGGAATTAGTCGTTAAAGTGCTACTAACCACAAATATAATTTACGTACTATTTAAAAAATGAGCAGGAGTGTTTTATTAGGTTTAAAGCCAACGAGCGCGCACCGCGAGTGGCTTTAGAGCTAAAAAAAAACCCGACCTGCGAGTTTTTTAAATGGCTTCAAAAACGTTTGCATAATAAGTCAAATCTTTATATATAAATCTTTATATAAAAATCTTTATATAGTCTGAATAACAATTGTCTTTTGTTATAGTGTTCTTTAGTTGGTATAAAGACGTATGCACGTGACTAATTTCTTACTCAATATTGGATAATTGCTTCATGAATTATTAATGAGTTTTTGAAGTCTGTGTAATATTTGAATTGGATCATTCTAAGAAGAAATGTAATGTATCTTTACAGTGAAAAAACTCATCTTGATCAACTTTTTATTGTCAAAGTTTCCGGATATGATGTCATTAGGTGAATTTTTTGTACCGAAACAAAGGAAAACTAATTTGCAATTTATCTATTGGCATCATATCCGGGCACTTTCACAGTGAAAAGATGTATTACATTTCTTCTTCGAATGACCCAGATACTACACACACATAAAACCATACTTGGGGTAGTCAAACTTTAGTTTAAACACGAATCTCTAATGTACTGGGAAGTGCACAACAGTGCCTAAATAAAGCGAACAAAGGCCATATTCACATGGACCATAATTTTTTTGTGGTGTTGCTGACATATTACGAGAGATTATTTCAGGTTCTGATTTTCGTTGCGATGGATAAAAGCGTCTACATATAAAAGAAATATAAAAGCTTTACCTATAAAAGCTTTCACTAGAAATATTGTGGCGTAAAAAAGGTCTATATGACTATAGTCTTGGACTATTTTTTACTTTGCTGGATGAGAGCTCGTTCTGCGCCCGCGTACAATCTTTTACTAGTCAACGACGCTTTTATATATCTTTTATATATCCAATATACAAATACGATGAGCATTAATTAGTAACCTTTTAACGTTCCTCCTGTCTTCCTCAATTCGTGTGCTAGTTTTACGCGACCGTATAAAAATTATTAATAATTCATGAGGATATATAAAATAAGAAAAATCATAAACGTGTCGTATCTTTAGCCTATATGTGGTATAGATTTCCCTTGATTTGCATACACTTTAACTTTGATTTTCTCGAGTTACATAACGTATTTTTTGAAAATTACTGCGCCAATGAACATACTAGATCGATCGTTTTTGAAGCAATTTAAAACATTCGCAGTGCGTGTTTATCAGACCTAAAGTAAAGATACTCGGCTTCGCCTTGTATCTTTATATCTGGTGAAACATTGCTGCTCATATTTTAAATGCTACGTCAACAACGCGGCAAAATGCGAAATGTCGGTTAAAAATTCATCCATGCAGGTGTTCCCTAAGGAGCAAATTGGATTTGTTATTCCTCTTGGTCACAATCAATACCCCCGGCACCACGGTTCTAACCTATAAATATGTTGATGACGTAGCAATGCATGTCTGAAATAATCTCCTTGCACCATCATGATCCGGCTAAAAATATGATAGTCTCTACTAATTCTCGCTCACACGATGAGATTAACACAGTTACTCGGTGGACTTCTACCAACAAACATGAAACTCAACGAGAAGACAAAGGGATTTGTCGTTTCCTTCATGAAGACTGCAAGTTGATGGCGTCAACAAGCCTGCTGCAACTTGATGACAACTTTGGCGGTTGTGTAGCATGTGTCCGCAAGTTGAAGATATTTAACAAAGTGTTCTTAGAATAAAGCACCTCAATTTAATTTGTAAATAATTATAGGCTTGCTAAATATAATCTTGAAACACTCTTCAATAGAAGAGAGAATGATTTTTTTTCTGTGCTGGCGTTGTGTACTCAGGTAAATATGATATGTTTGTGATGTTACTCAGAGTGTATATACACCGGGCGGGCTTGAAAATATGCCCAGTATCGAAGGAACTAGATTCTGTTCCGAATATGCGAGAATATGCCTGGTATCGAAGGAACTAGATTCTGTTCCGAAATATCACTTACTCGAACCGACCTGACCACGTAGCTCAGTTGGCAGAGCATTGGGCTAGTATTCCAAAGGTCGTAGGTTCCATTCCCACCGTGGCCGGGCATATTTTTCAAGCTCGCCCGGCGTGGATATACACTCAGAGAAGAGAGAATCTTGGTACGTCTTTTTATATACGTAACCTAGACCCTTAGTTCAAGTAAACTTGTACGACTTATTTCTTGATCTTGTTCATTGTCGTTAAGCGTTACAACCTGAGTTATTCACGGAAATTCCTCTTGTTAAATGTAGAACGAATCGTTTCCAAGCAGTGGCGAAGCCAGCCCGACAATTTGGTCATGCTATGCAAATTTTAAATCATCATTATTCATTTCTTTACAAATAGATTGTTTTAACGGTGCATGAAAACGGAAATATTTGCATAGCATGACCAAATTGTCGGGTTGGTTCGCCATGCACTGTTGCTAAGACAGTTTTTCACCGCCCTCTATTCGTAAGTGGAACGTACTTTTGTCGTGAGACATTCTAAATGTTTAACTTGATGTACATATAAATGTGTTAATCGTTTTTTTTTAACAATTTGTCTTGCTATTTCATGCAAACTTGAGCTTTTCAATTTTTTTTTTTTAATTACCAATCAAGTCAGTGATATAAACATTCATAATAACAATAATAATAATAATAATAATAATAGTAATAATAATAATAATAATGGAAACTTTATTAAATGTTTTTCTTTACATACATATACAATCGTAAATCTCTCTCATAAAGGTAACTTGCGGTTAGCTATTTGAATCACAATTATACTAAACTAAAATAACAGAACAAAGTGCATGCAATATATATATATATATATACAATGAGATAAGTCAAATTGTTGGTAAATCGGGATTTTCCGGATCCCATTCCTTATTTCGGCAGCAAAAAATGTAATATATAGTTCTAATAGCAATAGTCATCATTTTCCTAACGCAGTACATTTTAGTGGTTTTTGTCAAGACCAATACTTTCTAACATGTCAAAAAATGTATAACATTCTTCTGCAAAAATACCTAAAAAGCTGATGGAGAGATTTATAAATTTAACTTGGTTAAAATTTTTACCTAGCTGTCTCAATAATTCTCTAAATTTATCCTTCTTGCGTTTTACGTTGTTTTTGAGGTTTGTCTCATAACCAGTGGTGAGTTCAACCACATATAAGGAACCATTTGAGCACGATAATAACAAATCTGGGCGATATGTATCACCAGTAAGTATTGAAGGGCTTTTGAATCCATTTAGATCAGCGTAGAGAGTAGAACCGTCAACAGTTTGTAAAGTATGAGCAAGAAAGTTCAGGACTGAATTGTGTCTCCACGTAAATCGGTCGAGATAAAACTGACATCCAGCTACTAGTATGTGTAGTAATGTTTCAGGGCTAAGACAAAAAGAACAGTCTGAATTTGAAGATATTGCCCATCTGTTTAGGTTTTTGCGCGTCGGAAGAGAGTTGTTAATGTAACGAATGGTAAAGTTGTAAATTTTTATCGGGACCTTTGATTGGGCGATGGACCACACCTTGTTAAGCTGAGGTAAAGCGAACTTCGTGACGCTGCAGAAAAAGGATCCTTGACTGGTTAATTGGTTTAGGAGTTTGTTTTCGTGTCCAGAACGGAAATCTTTGAGAACTTCCTTAGTAGAGTTATAAGCGTCATATTGGATATTAGTATGGTTACTGGTTGCTCTCCACAGGTCGTTAGTTGACTCACTAGGAGAAAATTTTAAAGCTTTTCGGAGGACTGTTTGACACTGGATAAATTTTACAGATGGAGGATAAATACTCAGGCCAAATTTGTTATTTGTTAGAAAGACAGTACTTAGTGTTCCTGATATTGGTATACTTCAAGCCATCTGCGGATATATTTGTTGGCAATAGAATCGAAATTTTCAGTAACCCAGGTTTTAGAGAGTGTTGCGACGGTAAAGTGCCAGGTTAACTTGGACAAGACGTAGCGACTGTATAGAGGAGCAGTTTATTTTTGGGGTGTAGTGGCTTTGAGTCAATATCAGACATTAGTTCATTAAGTAGGGTGGTTAGATCAGTTTTGTGATTATCATTCGACATGTGGAAATCAAAGTAACGTCCTAAATATTGAAATGATTCTCCAATGGTGATTTTTGGTATTAGTTGATTGCTGATGAGGAGTTTTAGCAAGTACTGAACTGATTTTGTGATCGCTTTTTTAATGCCAAATGTACTGCATTTGTCAACTCGGATAATCATATCAGACCATAATAATAATAAATAATCATATATTATAATCATATATATAGTATTATTATTATTATTATTACTATTATAATAATAATAATAATATTATTATTATTATTATTATTATTATAATAATAATAAAAATAATAATAATTTTTTAAACCTTTACAAATCAATTACATAGCCTGACCCATATAGTCATACATTTATGAGTCCAGACCAAATTTTACCTAACTACACTTAATAAATAAGACAACAGTTCTCTGAATAAAGCAGGTCCGTTATCTACACTGTCACACATTAGTAGCTAATAGAAGTTGAGCTTTTCAAGGCAAGACCAGTTCTTATTTCTCTTACAAAATATGTAGAAAGTGGCACAAAGTGCAACCTCCATACATTGTGTTATGATACGATCGTCTTGCAAATGTAACAACCTACATAGCCTACGAAATTGGCCTATACTCTTCGTGACGAAGCCGAGAGTAGTGACTTCCAAAGTTATAACTTTAAGTCTATCACACTGTACGAGTAACTGTGATCGCAATACCCGATATTTTTCTTGTTTACGTCGTTTTGCAATCATGCAGTTTGTTTCATATGGGACAATCAATTCAATCACATGCAAGTCTCTTTTATAACAAATCGTAATATCTGGCCTTAACGCTTGAAACAGATTGGACGTACATTTCAAGCCAGAGTCCGGACAATCGGCAAAAATCTCCAGGTCTTCCGACAACACTCTCCTTAAGTGATGAAGAATAGTGTTTAATATAGAATCATGCCTCCACGTATATCGATGTTGCTGCAACGTACAGGGCAATATGAAAGAACATGAAGCTGTGTTTGAATTTTGTTGCAAAAGTCACAATTTGGAGAATCTCGAATGTTCCACCGCTTCAGGTTAGAATTGTTGCTCAAGTTAAGCACTAGAGCCTGTCTTGCAAAACAAGTTATATTACGGGGTAGTCTGCTAACCATTTCTTGCCAAAAGTGCAGTATTTTCTTGTTGCACGCTTCAGTTAGATAGTTTATAATAATACTTTGTTCTTTTAACGTAATAAAATTCGTCCAAATATCATTTGTACTTTGCTGTTTCAATAACTTATTTGTTCCGGTTTTCAGTTCGTATCCATCTGTTACATTTGATGATACTTTTTCAATTATTTCATTTGTATTAATATTTTTGGAAGATGTTACAGAATACAGATGTTGAATATCACTGTTCCTAGATGTTTTCAATATGCGCCTAACCGAAAGTTTGCATTGTAAATATATATCTTAAGCAGAGCAAAAGTCAATCCCTAGATATGATTTTGGTAGTTTTAGATGAGTGATATTGCCACTAATAAAGATCTGTAACCATTTTTGAATATACTTGGAAATAGCTGGCTCAATATTTTGCTTTATCCAGGTCTCAGTAAAGGGGTATATAGAAAATCGCCAACGGAGCTTTGAGTAAACATAATGCTGAATCATCCTGATTTTCGAAAAAGGATTCATGGGGAAAAGATCTATTTTCTGCAGATATTTGTCGATTTCACTTAGTATCTCTACTTTGATCTGTTCGCATTCCATATTAAAGTTAAATTGCTTTCCAAGATAGTTAAACCCTCTTCGCATTCAATCGGCGGTACACGCTTGCCCGAGATGATAATAACTGGTTGGTATTGAATTGCTTTTGAGGATTGCTTCTTGATTCCAAAAGTATGACATTTCTCAACACGAAGCAAGTGATTGTCCTCTTCATGTGCCCTTAATATTGCTGTGTCATCCGCAAATTGGAACCAGTGCCTAGGGCACATCGTTGCGTTATTTACATAGCCGAGACATTTTAATTTCGCGTCGTTTATTGTGTGAATCAAAGAATTTACACAAAGAATAAATAACAAGGGTGATAAACAATCACCTTGTAACACGCCTCGTTGCACTGGAATTGGTTTCGTAATGAAACCTTTCGTAAAAATTGAGATACTGAAATCAGAGTAGAGATTCTCAACAAAGCAATAATTTCTTCAGGAATGTGATGAGCTATCAAGATAGTTCGTATAAGTTTATGATGTACCCCACCTTACCCTTTTTTCAGATCAAGAGATCTTTGCTTATTTCTGGCATGGTTAATAATATGTAATAATAATTCCGTATGTTCAATAGTCCCCGAAATTCCAGGCCAAAAACCTTTCTGGATTCCCGACTCGATAAATTCGTTTTCGCAAACAAACTTAAAGATTCTATTCCTTAGCAATGATGTTATGACTTTTAGCAAAACAGGTTCTAGACAGATAGGACGGAAATTAGCAGGATCCTCAGTTGAATCTTTTTTATGGATCAATTTCGCCGCCGCGTGCTTCCAGACAGATGGAATATTTTCTTCGTTCCAGCATTTACAGATAATTCTCCATAAATGCGTTCTTAAAATTGGACAACGTTGAAACGAAATAATGATTATTTGGTCGAAAGGACACGCAGAGCCACGACTTTTCATTTTTCTGATTATTTTAGAGATCTCACGATACGTAGGACATTCTAAGTCGAAATCTTTACTTGCGGATGGAAATGAACTCAACCAGGACGGCCAATTAAACAAACGACTTTTACTTTTCTCCTTAAATAAGTTCTTAAAATAGTCGAAACACGACTGTTCGCTCAAGTTTGGTTCTAGCTCTTCGGTGTTTTCAAATTCATTTTTACAAAACTTCCAAAAGTTCTCATTTAACGCTTGACTGTATTCTTTTTCGCAATAACTTACTGACAAATTTTATTTCCTCCCAGATGCCTCCGATTTTAAATCTTTTAAGCATTTTTTTAACTTTGATTTTGACATACTTCTATAGTGTTCAAATTTATTAGCCGACTTTACCAAACCACATGTATCTTTAAAGTAAGACCACATAACGTTATTCATGAATACAATTTACGAATCCAAGTCTACCAGCTCTGGTCTAACACTGAATTGCGACTGAAAAAACTCGTTAGCTGCTTTCCAACTAAGATTCGATCGAGGCAGTTTTACTCCTGATAGCACTTTAAACTTATCGGTCGGAAACAGAACTTTGCTAATGCTATCATCTTTTTGAGCAAACAGTTCAGCAAAGCGCGGGTTATTCTGTACAAAGTAAATTTAGTGAACGATAATTATTAAATGTATGCCCACAATAACACATAAAACTTTCTCCTGCGACATTAGTCGACCCTACCGTACATGTATTATTATCCGCAGATGTTGAAGAAAACGCTCTCTCCGTGTTAGGTGAGTTTTCGACACCAGTTCGTGATTTGCAACGCCATTGATGTCTGCCCAGCGATTTGAAATCCTTTCCACAATACTCACATATCGTTGAATTGCAGGTCAAAATTTGCCCAAAAATAACGATCAATACCACACAAAGCACCACAATGATCCCTTTCATACTCAAGGTGAAGTTCCAAAAGTTCAAAACTAATGTTAGTGCAGTTAAACTACATGAACTATTCAAAAAGTACAGGAGCGCCGTGACCGTGAATTAACTGCCCACCTCGCTGGTCACTGTAAATAATAATAATAATAATAATAATAATAATGTAAACACATTTTATTTCATTTCATACAAATATTAGTAACCAGCTCTCACTAAAGTATTATAGGCAACCTGGCTACATTATGGTACAAAAGATTAAGAAAAGAATACAATGTTAAACTAAGCTTAAAATATTTACAAATCATCAAAATGGAATTTCTACAGAAATGCTATTACAATGGTTATTTTAAAATACGTTCGTAAGGTAACAACGTAGACAGTGTCAAATAAGATAACTGTACATACACATGACAGCATGAATCCTACCAATATAAAAGTTCAGGGCAAGACCATTGTCTGTTTCTAGAACAAAATATATAATAACTTGTCCTTATGCAGCAGCCGGTTAGTTTTCTAATGATGAATTTTCTTTGCATATCGCTTAATCTTACTTCGCGGTCCAAAAAGTCATAGAACTGTTTACATTCATGACTTAAAACTCCAATCGCGCCCATGCATAAGTTAAAATACGTTACTTTGTTAAATCGTTCTCTTAAAAAGTTACAAAGATCCTTGTATCGTTCCCTTTTCCTTAAACAGTTTTTGCCATATATTAGTTTCAAAGCCGATTGTCAATTCAATAACATATATATTTTGGTTGTTGTCTGATATTACCAAGTCTGGTCGGTCATTACAGCCTGTGATCACAGATGGATTATCAAAACCAGAAATGTCTGCATAAACGTGAAAGTCCCTTCTGACACTAGATATGTACGTTGCTAGGTGTTTCAGCACTGAATTGTGTCTCCATGTGTATCGACCTTCGTCCAGGGATGTTTTCCAAGAAGACACTATATGTTGTAGTGTTTGCACATTCAAGCAGAAATGACACAGATTATTTTGAGCTTTCTTCCACAAAACCATGTTTGTTAATGTGGGTAGGGTGTTATTTAAATATCTAGTTACGAAGTTGTATATGTTTTCAGGGAGTTTGTCAACTGCCGAGTGCCAATCTTTCGCTGTACCCTGGAAAGCATCTCTCCAAATCGACTTAATTATAAGACTCTGCGACGTTAGCTTGCTTTCAATATTAAAGATCTTATCTTTCCTAATTTCTTTGGCAACCTGTTTTGCGGTGGAGAAACCATCGTACTGCACATTACAGTTTGAGCTAGATGCGTAGAAAAGGTTTTGGGTGTCTAGACAAAAAATAATAATAATAATAATAATAATATTAATGATAATAATAAATAATGGATTAATTTACAGTATTTCCACTTTACCCGGATTACAGTACATGAATAATATTTATATACTAAATAATCATAATAATAACTAACTTATCTATATAAATTAAATGTCAGTTATAAAAATAATTTATGTAGCAATATCCCGTCTACAATTGGCCACTTTTGTGGCATTTGTGCTCCTTTTTGTTAATTTACAAAATTTATTAAAATCCCTGCAGTCAGTTATGTCGGGAGAGAGGCTATCAAAAAGGAAGTGGTGGCATTCTGGAAGGCCTCTTTTTCTAAAGACATATCTTACAAGTATTATATAAGCGCTGGGTTACGATCAGTGTTCTTGAAAATATGTAATGTTAAATACGATGGCAATATATTATCATTCATGGTTTTGAAAGCGTTCTATGAGTATGAGAATGAGTGTGAGTGTGAGTGCGAGTGTATGTATAAACTTTATTTCAACACGGAAATCTCATCATTACAAACAATGCACTTCCTGAGAGCCGTGCATATATACAATATATAAAATTTATAAATTTATGTATAAATATAGGAAGAAAGGAGAGAAAGGGAAACAAAGGGGAAAACATATAATATACGATAAAAGCATTAGAGACTAACGCCTGTATTCAAAAAGCTCACTCACACTTGGGTGTGACTCGAATGAGATGCACTCAAGTAGGGTTGAAGTGCGAGTGAGAGTGGAGTACGAGTGTGAGTGTCCACTCAACAAGGGAGCACTCAGCCTTGAAAATATTTGCTGGATTTGTATTCAAAGAGCTCACTCGAGTGTGACTTGCTGGAGTTTGGGTTTGATGTTGATGTATAATTAACAATAGAAGGTATATAAATTAGTGAGCTCGAGACTGTTGTAGACTTGTCAATGCTTTCGTACAGCGTTGCTGAACAATATGGGTTGTAATTCTATTTCAGAACCATCCTCAGAGATAGGAAAACTAGTTTCATATTAATCTGACACTGCAATCGAGCAACGAAAAATTCGTTGGCTCGAGCGGGATTTGAACTCGCATCTTCGGGTATCTAGACCGCCGCTCTACCTATTGAGCTATCGAGTCAACAGGGATTGGTAGCGAGTCTTATCCAATTTAAGTGCACGAAATATTTTCGTGACGACTTAACGCTTGTCTTGGAGGACGCGCAGTGTTTCAATTCTATTTCAGAACCATCCTCAGAGATAGGAAAACTAGTTTCATATTATTTAATCTGACACTGCAATCGAGCAACGAAAAATTCGTTGGCTCGAGCGGGATTTGAACTCGCATCTTCGGGTATCTAGACCGCCGCTCTACCTATTGAGCTATCGAGTCAACAGGGATTGGTAGCGAGTCTTATCCAATTTAAGTGCACGAAATATAAGATTAATATGAAACTAGTTTTCCTATCTCTGAGGATGGTTCTGAAATAGAATTGAAACACTGCGCGTCCTCAAAGACAAGCGTTAAGTCGTCACGAAAATATTTCGTGCACTTAAATTGGATAAG